TGGAAAAACGAAGAAAACACAAAAAATATGAATGAGGAAAGGTACAAAGAAATAAACAAAATCATTAAGAAAAAGATTAAAGAAGATTCCCTAGAGCAGAAGCACACTTTTAACGTACATAAAAAGATCAAAAACTTTACGGGAGGAAACGGATCACGAGGACATAACTTAATACTAGACGAGCACAACTATCTGCTCTAAGAAAATGAGAGAATACATGAGAGATGGAAGCAATACATGAAAGAATTATTCAAGGAAGAGCAAGAGATAGAAGTCAGTGTTTCTGGATGTTCAGGACCAAAAATATTTCTCAGTGAAGTAACATTACAATAAACAGAATAAAAGCCAACAAAGCACCTGGACATGATTATATACAAGCTGAAATATTGAAACTATTTGAAAACAACTAACTCAAACTCCTAACGAGTTTACTGAACAAAATCTATGAAACTGCAGAATTTCCTACAGACTGGCTAGTTTCCACCTTCATTACTCTCATCTCTCTATACAGAATTATAAACTTAGTGGGCCATGCATTCAAAATTCTTTTTTCTGTTATTCACTCTCGCATATATAGAAAACTTAAAGAAAAACAATAGCAGTGTTCAGTTTGGGTTTAGAAGCGGACTGGGAGCGCGAGAAGCTCTATTTTCCATACAAGTATTGATACAAAGAGCTCGAAACGTAAATTGCGAAGTCTGCGCATGCTTTATAGACTTTGAAAAAGCATTTGACAAGTGGCAACATAAAAAATTATTTTAGATACTGAAAAAATCTAGTATTGATGACAAAGATTTATACCTAATTAAAAATTTATACTTACAGCAACGGGCACAAGTACAAGTAGACAACAAAACCTCACAAGAATTCGCGATAAAACGTGGAGTACGTCAGGGCTGCATTTCGTACCGATGTTGTTCAATACTTACTCGGAAATGCTGTTCTGGGAAGCTATTGATGGTTTAAGAGAAGGTATAAAAATCAATGGTGAAATCATTAGATGAAGATGACATACTTAGGGCATGTGATGTGCAATGAGAAGTATCAACTTATTTTACAAAGCAAGAGAAGGCAAAACATATCAAGGGCGCAGAAGGAGATCGTCGTTGAAGAACATCAGACAGTGTGCAGGAATGACTACCATACATCTATTTAAAGCAGCTATTAACAAAGTTGTATGAACCAATGTGATTGCCAACATCCACAGAGGATAGGCACCAAAAAAAGAAGTAGATCAAATATTTTGTCATTTATTAATATGTTTCTGTTTAGAGTACTCCGTTTCCGTCCCAAAAAATTTTTGTCAAAAAGAAATACCTAAGTACGAAGTAACAATATTGAAATACATAAATTCAATTACCTTGACTTTTTTTCGGTGGTGTCACGGTGTAGAATAATAGCTATTGGCAGTAGAGCCAGAAAGTAAAATGTAGAGTGACGAAACCACTGATACCAGTAGTAAGAGAAAAAGAAATGGAGATGAAGTCGAAGTGGAATCTTTTCAAACTAAAAAGACACCTAAAACACCAATAAAATTAAGAGGTGAGGATCAGTTAGATAGATTAAGTATTAGTAATAGCCGAATATGCAAAACTTATGAATGAAGTAAATTGGGAACTTCAAGAATGAAAGAATTTAAGGTTTGCGTCCTTGTAAGTTGTTTCATATCATAGACTGAGTCAAATTATTTAAAAGAAATTTCTTCAGCATGTAATCTCATTTAAAGTTTCATATTAAATATTTAAATACAAATGTCACATTTGTTTTTCTTACCTGTGCACTTTCAAATGTTTTTTCAAATTACCTGCTTGACTAAAATTGCTTAAAACAAATTTCACACTAGTAAGATTTTTCTCCAATATGCACTTTCAAATGTTTTTTTAAATGATCTGGTCGACTAAATTGCTTAAAACAAATTTCACACTTGTAAGATTTTTCTCCAGTGTGCACTCTCAAATGTTTTTTCAAATGATCTGCTCGACTAAATTGCTTAAAACAAATTTCACACTCGTAAGATTTTTCTCCAGTGTGCACTCTCAAATGTGTTTTCAAATGACCTGCTTGACTAAATTGCTTAAAACAAATTTTACACTTATGAGATTTTTTTAGAGTGTGTCCTCTCAAATGTATTTTCAAATTACCTGCTGTAGTAAACTGCTTAAAACAAATTTTACACTTGTAAGTTTTTTCTCCAGTGTGCACTCTCAAATGTATTTTCAAATTACCTTCTGTAGTAAACTGCTTAAAACAAATTTCACACTTGTACGATTTTTCTATAGTGTGCACTCTCAAATGTGTTTTCAATTGACCTGCTTGAGTAAATTGCTTAAAACAAATTTCACACTAGTAAGATTTTTCTCCAATATGCACTTTCAAATTTTTTTTTAAATGATCTGGTCGACTAAATTGCTTAAAACAAATTTCACACTTGTAAGATTTTTCTCGAGTGTGCACTCTCAAATGTTTTTTCAAATGATCTGCTCGACTAAATTGCTTAAAACAAATTTCACACTCATTTTTCTCCAGTGTGCACTCTCAAATGTCTTTTTAAATGATCTGCTCGACTAAATGGCTTAAAACAAATTTCACATTCGTAAGATTTTTCTCCAGTGTGCACTCTCAAATGTGTTTTCAAATTATCTGCTCGACTAAATTGCTTAAAACAAATTTCACACTTGTACGATTTTTCTATAGTGTGCACTCTCAAATGTGTTTTCAATTGACCTGCTTGAGTAAATTGCTTAAAACAAATTTCACACTTGTACGATTTTTCTATAGTGTGCACTCTCAAATGTGTTTTCAATTGACCTGCTTGAGTAAATTGCTTAAAACAAATTTCACACTTATGAGATTTTTTTAGAGTGTGTCCTCTCAAATGTATTTTCAAATTACCTGCTGTAGTAAACTGCTTAAAACAAATTTTACACTTGTAAGTTTTTTCTCCAGTGTGCACTCTCAAATGTATTTTCAAATTACCTTCTGTAGTAAACTGCTTAAAACAAATTTAACACTTGTAAGATTTTTCTCCAGTGTGCACTCTCAAATGTCTTTTCAAATGACCTGCTTGACTAAATTGCTTAAAACAAATTTCACACTTGTAAGATTTTTCTCCAGTGTGTACTCTCAAATGTATTTTCAAATTACCTTCTGTAGTAAACTGCTTAAAACAAATTTCACACTCGTAAGATTTTTCTCCAGTGTGCACTCTCAAATGTGTTTTCAAATGACCTGCTTGACTAAATTGCTTAAAACAAATTTCACACTCGTAAGATTTTTCTCCAGTGTGCACTCTCAAATGTGTTTTCAAATGACCTGCTTGACTAAATTGCTTAAAACCAATTTTTTACACTTGTAAGATTTTTCTCCAGTGTGCACTCTCAAATGTTTTTTCAAATGATCTGCTCGACTAAATTGCTTAAAACAAATTTCACACTTGTACGATTTTTCTATAGTGTGCACTCTCAAATGTGTTTTCAATTGACCTGCTTGAGTAAATTGCTTAAAACAAATTTCACACTTATGAGATTTTTTATAAAGTGTGTCCTCTCAAATGTATTTTTAAATTACCTGCTGTAGTAAACTGCTTAAAACAAATTTTACACTTGTAAGATTTTTCTCCAGTGTGCACTCTCAAATGTCTTTTCAAATGACCTGCTTGACTAAATCGCTTAAAACAAATTTCACACTTGTAAGATTTTTCTCCAGTGTGTACTCTCAAATGTATTTTCAAATTACCTTCTGTAGTAAACTGCTTAAAACAAATTTTACACTCGTAAGATTTTTCTCCAGTGTGCCCTCTCAAATGTGTTTTCAAATGACCTGCTTGACTAAATTGCTTAAAACAAATTTCACACTCGTAAGATTTTTTCTCCCAGTGTGCACTCTCAAATGTGTTTTCAAATGACCTTTGACTAAAAAATGCTTATAAAACAAATTTCACACTCATAAGATTTTTCTCCAGTGTGCACTCTCAAATGTGTTTTCAAATGACCTGCTTGACTAAATTGCTTAAAACAAATTTTACACTTGTAAGATTTTTCTCCAGTGTGCACTCTCAAATGTGTTTTCAAATGATCTGCTCGACTAAATTGCTTAAAACAAATTTCACACTCATAAGATTTTTCGCCAGTTAATGTTTTTCTTTTGGAGCGTTGACTTGTATAACTTCCTTCGTTAGATGAATCTTCAATTAGTGTCTCTATAATTTCCATTTTGTGTTCATCTTTAAGATAACCTAAAATACAAACCAATGGCTAAGTTTACCAAAAGTACAAGCTGAATAGCCACAAATATCAAAAATATTTGGGTTTGGAAGTGTTGGGATATTTTATAACGCATAATGTTATATGCTTCAAATATAAAGAGAGTAAGCTTTTAAAAAGTACATTTTGATTATATTTTTTTTATAGCAGCTACTGCAGCAAAAAATCATGGAGTTCCTGATAGTACTGTGAGGCATAAGAGGGGTGGAAAATCACCATTAGTTTGTTCTATGTATCATTCTACAATTTTAACGGAAGAAGAGGAATCAGTCTTAGTAAAATGGATTTACATATACCAGAAAGATATTTTTCCATTTCAAAAGTTTCTATATTTCCAACTCATTGCACGCCAGTAAAAAATTTCCAATCAAACATTTCTGATACTCATGGCTCCGACATATTGTCTTGTATTGAGAAGAAATTTCTTAATGCTCTTGAAACAAGTACATCTCATGTACACTTGGAGAGTCCATGCAAAGTTCCTACTCCATTTAAGAAAGCACTGTTTGGGCCAAACCCAAAAAAGAAAACTAAAGGAAAATATTCCATCAGTGGTAATCTATATTCTTTGGTGGTAACATGGAAAGCGTGGCATGAATATCACTCAAACAAAGAGAAAAAAAAAAAAGAAAAATGTCTATTACTGAAAGAGAAGCCAAAACAGGATATTTCTGATGATGATGGAGAGTGGATTGAGAGTGGTAGCAACTGTGATGACATAAATTACGGTGTTACCTACTAACCTTTATCAGTTTTTTTGTTTTCTTCAAATGGGTTTAATTTATTTCCATTTTGTTCTATTTCAGTATATATGAGACATTTCTTTAAGTCTAAATAATCATACGTGTCATGTGTAGTACGCCTATTGGATTCCTCCCGAATTTCACATTTAAAGCCATCCAAAAGAGCATAATCCAATTCATTATACTCTATTTCTAGTTTACACGTTTTCTCGCTAAATTCTTGTTTTACTTCCATTTGATTACACTTGATTTGGTAAAATTCAGAGTTCAGAATATGCTTGCACGTCATTCAAGATCAAGATTTACGTCATACTCATGGCTTGGAATCTTATGACTTCCTTTTCCTTGGTTCATTCCCCGGACTTCTTCAATATTGATGCAATGAACGTAACCTCGTTGATATGTTGATGTTAAATGTAAGCTTAATATACGTCAGTGTTGCCATATACTCAAATATTTCCCACTCTCACATATAAAATTATTGGCAAGATTTATATTATATTAAATGAAAATGTAAAATTGAAAAATACATATGTAATTAAACAAAAATGTGAAAAATATATATATTTTTTACCTATACATAGTATATAATTCATTAAAATTATACCTATAAATATTTATAAAATAAATTATATCTTGCATTTCTACATTTAAAAATACTTATA